TCCAAGATGCCAACACAATCTCCTAAGAAAACAAATAAGAAAACGAACACTTTTCCAATTTTATATTGTGTTGTGTAATTCTGTGTTGTTTCTGGAGAGTGTTTCTTTCCATTTAACTTCCTTCATCGTCCAAATGTAAGCCAATAAAAGAATCTGAAAAACTATTTAGACACCAAATTTAATTTCGGGCAGTGTGCTGAGGAACAAACGAAAAGAACGAACAACTTAAAAAAAGCACGTCACTTGAACGTCGTTTGATGTTTAAAGATGGCTATTCATTAATTGACGCCCTTTTGCCAATGAACGAAGAAGCGCGCGATTTAAAAAAAAAATCCCCATTAATTATTGTTTAAGAAAAAGTTAACAACATTCTTCTTGAGAATTACAAATTTTTTTTACAGAAAAAAAATTATAGCTTAACCTAGCCATTTATGTAACTCACTAAATGAAATGGATAGGACTTGTAAATAAACACACGTTACTTCCATTCATTTAACAAATATATGCGTCAGAGTAAAAATAATAATAATCATTTTTCCAATCCTTTTATACAAAGGCAAGGTTACTGGATCTTTTGCTACTAACTGAATTTGCTAGTAACAAATGATTTTGCTTCTGACAACAAATTCTACTGTCAATAACAGAATTTACTGGCAACAAGAGATTTTGCTTCTAACAACGTATTTCTACGGTTAACAACTGAATTTTCTGGAAAAAAATCATATTTTGCTGTTAACAAATGATTTTGTTTTTTTTTTAACAAGGTATTTTTGCTGTTACCACGTGAAGTTTATGCATTTAAATTTGACTTGAAAGCAATAAGCCAGAAGAGAATTCCACAAGCGAGACGTTTGTGAAGAAAAAAAAACCTTACTGTTAGATGTAGGCACTTCAATTGTAATATAATGAGACCTAGGCGCCAATCTAGTACAGCACTTACATTCATAAAAAGTGATTTCATCATGAAGAATTAGCCAATAATTAATACAAGGTTTTTTTTTAACATATTTTTTTTTACTTAAAAAATATGATTACAAATTTTTACCTCTTTTTGTCAATTAGTTTCTTTTCTTTGACTGGGAAAACAAACAAAAATTATTTCCTGATTTACGTGAAAAGTTGCGGTTAATTTTCACCTATAAATGCTGAAACTACTAGGAAGAATGGGATTGTCAGTTTTACAAAAGGAAATCAAGATTTAATGAGGAAATAAATAGATTATATGAGACAGGTAGACGTATTGCCAAACATTTTGATATGAAAATACATTGAATGCCTAAATTAAATGTTTTTTGATAAGGCTGTTGTCAAGGTAAGAAGAGTAAAAATGCGCGTCGGTGGAGTTAATGAAATGCGCTTAACACTTTCGGGAAAATAATCTATGATCTGGAATTGGAATGAAAGGGATGATACTATATACCCTGAAACCATTATAAAAAATCAGCATCTGAAATTAGTAAACAGGCAACACTTCAAATATCTCAGTGTCTCAAGATATACACTCGACTCAGGTTGTTAAATAGCATTGTCAGATCGATATATTTATAAGATTGTTATGAGTGAGGCTTAATCAGTTTAGAAGTGACTAATCAGTCAACAGTATACAGCGACTCTCTAGTACGCATTTGCTTTTGCCCGGGACACCTAGGCGCCCTGTTTATTCAAGGCCCAGGCCGCCTATACGTCCTGTTTAATTTAGCCAACCAGATACAATTTCTTCTTTTGCTATCAACAGTTCCGATTCCCTCACACACACTGAGGCAGCGGAAATAAGTTCAAAGGTATTTCCTCAACCGATATGCAATAAAAAGTTAATGAATTTCAACCGAAATCAATACTGGTTGCCTGTTCATTGAATGCCAAATGTTTCCTTGTAGGGAAGCAGTTAATACTACCATTATCATTATCATTACTGACAGAAGCATTTTTACCGATTGACAGCATTATCACCTTGGATCCTTTTACAGCAGACTTTCAACACTCTTCTCAAGACTTCTTAAAAAAATTGAATGATGTGATTGTTCAATATTGTAATGAAGGCTTATGCTATCGCCTGTTCCAATTCCCTCTCACACACTGAGTCAGTGGAAATAAGTTCAAAGGTATTTCCTCAACAGAGGTTTAAACACAGCACTGTACATTTTACGGTATAAGGTTGACCTGGCATCCAATATCTTGGGTAGATTTAAAATGCCCTAAGAAAACATTGGTTCCTTGATAGTGATTATATTAGCTAATAAAGACGAATATGCATGCCCTCATTGTAAAGCGGTATGAAACGATAGATAAGGTAAGAGATTATGTTCAGAACTACAACAGCAGAGATTTGGTTACGATTTTTATGCTTCTAATATTAACTCTGTTGTAGTGATTTCTCAAACGTAGCTTAGATGTGGCACAAGGCCGAAAGTGGGGACACCCAGTGAGGATCGAACTCACGACTCAGTCGTAATTGTTCTAGAGAAAATGTCGCTAGCCATTACACTGCCACGAGGTGCCCAAGATGATTTTCTGAGTAGCTTAGACGTAAGGCAAGGGCGAAAGTATGGGACACCCAGTGAGGATCGAACTCACGACTCAGTCGTAATTGTCCAAGAGAAAATGTCGCTAGCCATTACACTGCCACGAGGTGCCCAAGATGATTTTCTAAGAGTAGCTTAGACGTAAGCCAAGGTCGAAAGTATGGGGCACCCAGTGAGGATCGAACTCACGACTCAGTCGTAATTGTTCTAGGGAAAGTTGCTAGCTATTACACTGCCACGAGGTGCCCAAGATGATTTTCTAAGAGTAGCTTAGACGTAAGACCAGGCCGAAAGTATGGGGCACCCAGTGAGGATCGAACTCACTTGTCAGTCGGAATTGTTCTAACCAGATAAGCTTGCTAACCATTGCCTCGTGGTACCCTCTATTTACTCTGTATTTATTTATATGGATTGGATGAGTGATAAATTAGTTAAAACAAAATAACAGGCATTACCATTTAACTGAGAAGTGTATTTTTAAATTCCTCTTCATTTCAGGTATTATATGTGAGGGTTTTCCTAAATTGCCTTGCGTTTGGTAATGTAAAAAGAAGTAAGAATTGGACCATTTCTTTGCCCACTAAGTTATATTGTTCTCTTTATTTTTTTTATTACCTCCAGTGTCCCTCTCAGTATTTCAATCATGTTGCATTTTATTCTAAACTAGGCTTTCCTACATTTAATTAAAAAAACAAAACATCAGCACAAATGCTGTATGCTGGATATCCAATTAGCACATATAGCATAGACTGGAACGCCAGATGCGACGCTAATTAGAAAAACGAACAGATCATATTTAAGTCCCTGAAATTAAAATGCCTTACTGCCATACAATCGGGGAAAAAAGAGTTTGTTAATTTGCTTTCGTGATATGGAAGTTGTTATTTCAATACCTTCCATCAATTTTATTCCAGCTAATATTAAGAACGCTACCGATAACATGTAATCCTCGTCTGCATATTGGTTTATTGGAAACTGAATCGGTTTCACCTACCGATATATTTTAGTGAGCGGTGTAGCTAGACACCCAGACGTAATATAACCTGAACTTGCTAAAGGGTGGATTAACCTTATCGTAGGGTCGACGGTCATCTCGCAAAACCGAATAAGGTGGGATCCCTTGCTAGTTCAATGATAATGGATGTGGGGCTTCCTGGACTGAAGTCAACGACCGGAGAGGAAGACGGAGCCGGTGTTTTGACCTGGGGACGCTTATTCCGTGCCAGGTCTTCTTGAGCTGCGCATGAATAAATAAGTCTTCGGCGTTTAACCCGGACATTTGAAGCCAAATGGCCATGGGCTCAGCTGCACTGTTACCCTAAGATCACTTTCTGTAATTGGGATGGTGATGAGGAGGAGGAGGATGAGGAGGAGGATGAGGATAAAGATGATGATGAAATGATAAAATTAGTATTTCTAGATCCACACCGATGTGTTGCAAGAAAATCAAAGAATACACTATATTGTATAATATTCTAAAATCTAGGAAATGTTTTACGCTCCAAAAGCTACAAAGCAGAGATTTTTGTTTTATTTTTTGATGAAACTAATCAATGATGGATACACATATAATTGCCATCATCTGTTAATAATGAATTCACTAATTATTGACCGCTGACAATCTCTGCCATTCTGGTCATTAAACTGAAGACTACGAACATTTTTTTTATCATTTTCTGAGAGAATAAGACTTTGCGGTTAAATCCTTTTGCAACGTTAAAAGAACGCAGTGTAGTCAAAAGTCGTTTATTGTGTATATTCATCATTCACTGCCGATACGGCATTGGATGATGAATATACACAGATCAAGAACAGACTTGATTCGACAGAAGAGTGATTCTACAGAAGGATGCACAGAGAATCCCATGGGCTGTACATGTTAATAACGAAGACAATTTAAAGAAACAGACACAAAAGATACCATTATACGGAGGATAAGGCTGAAAGCGCTGAACTTTCTTGGATGTATAATGTCGAAAGAAAGCTGGGAGAATGTTATACTTATAAGAGATATAGAAGGATTGTGGAACAGCGATTAATCTACCGAAAGAGCTAGTGGATATGGATGACAGAAAAGGGAATGTAAGGGATGGTGTAATAAGAAGCCTTAATAAGAGCGTAATTGTATGTGTAGCGGGCCTTGATCACATACATAATGAAGGGACAGAATACATAAAACAATTTCGGCGAAAAAAAAATCATCTCTGTGTGTCAATAACAAGAAAAGAAGAAAACTGAAGAATCCAAAATGTATTTTAAATGTTTGAATACATTCTTTGCATACACCTTGAAGGGCATATAATACGGTCTCAGTGTAGCGTTTTGTTATGTTTTCACTTGATCCTGGTTGCCTGTTTGCAGTAACTCATTAAGGCTCTCACGGATTTCTCAGCAGACAGAATCAATGCAAGAGAATTTTTGTCAATCTCTAAAAAAATAATTATGAGGGGGGATCTAGCAGGCGACGTTTTTTGACAGATGTCCGAAACAGAGAAACAAGAAGAAAATATCAATCGGTTTCGACCTGGCAAAATCATCTCTCACTGTATAACATTATCGCTACATCGAAATCTTCACCGGGTAGAGATTCCTATTCATCGCCTCGCTGTTCAAATCACAGGTACCCAAAATATTCCGGGTGAGTATCTATAGATAGATATATAGATAATGAATTATAGAATTTCTTCCTTTGTTATCAGAAGAACACAATAAAGAGATACGGCTTGGAGTATATAACACACATGAGGCTAATCAAGAGCAAAGCAAGCTGAGTAAAATGGCGATCAACCTACTTGTCAAGTTCGAGTAAAGTATCAATAAGCTAAATATGGAGAGAGGCCATAGAGAGCAAATATTGCTGAGATCTACAAAAGACAGGAAACGATGTAAATGCATGATTAATTTAGGCTTAAATATACATGGTACACACACACACACACACACATGGGACTGTGTTTATTTACCTACGTTGTTGTACCTACACATTCACACGAGCGAGAGATGCTGGTAGTTTCAAAATTTAGAAAGGCTATATATATATATATATATATATATATATATATATATATGTATATGTATCATTGATAGTTATATAATCGATTTGGTTTTTCGTTTATCCTGCCGTGATATGTTCATAAATCACTAAAGTTTTCTAGGAAAGTTGGTCTGAGCTACTATCTGTTCATTCGTTGTCCCATTTTTCTTCGCGATCATTACAAGTTCCTAGTCCAAATTTGCCAACTATTTAGTTCTCTTTTACTTCTTTGACATTCAGTTTTGGAACCTTGACTTTGTCTAGCGTACATTAAAGCCTTTCACTTTCTTATGTACTTTGGTCTGCCGATGCATATACAACAGATTGATATCATGAAACACTTTAATTTTAATACGAATTCTTTCAGATATTTGACAGTATCCCAGAACACAATTCTTCATCCCTTGGTCTAATATCAGCCCTACTCATCTTTCATTTTTCTCTCTCCCTGATTATATAATCTTGTATTTCCCAATGACAACATCATCATTGTTTCAAGTACACCTGAAATATTAACATGTAACCTATTCTCTCCTTGCATTATATTTTCTACCTGTATGCATTAATTTACTGTTCTGATATTCCATGTCGCGAGGCTTATTTATTTTATGAGAACTCCCGCTGTACGACCGCCGGGTGACACCTGTCGCTCATTTTTTTTTCTTTGCCTGGCGAAGGATTAATTCCAAGGAGTTTGACGCCTTTTGTGCCGATTTTGCTGACATTCACAGGATAACGGCGAGATGACATCTGCTGCCCTTCCTTCCCTGGCGAGGAGTTTATCCCAATATATTTAGCCACCTTCACACCGTTATCTTTCATAACTCGTTTGTTAAAATCGATGAGTTTTCTTGTTGATTAATCACAGTCACCTCATTGTGTTAGATACGTTAATTCAACAATAATTCGGCAAAGCTAGTTCTTAAACAGGCTTTGTTTTTAACCAACATATTTACAAGAAAACTACTGCAGCAAAAATGGTTTATTTACCAATAACAAGTAACAGAAATAACAGGAGGTAATATTGGGTTACATGGCTTCACTGACACTCGTAGTTTGACTTGGCATATTGCCGCTGTATAACGGGTTTAAATAGGTTTCTAAAATATGTTGAGGATTATTGATTAAAATGTTATGAGTAATGCATAAATGTATGTTGTTATTCATTTGAATGATTATTAAATATTAAGTCAAAATATTATCTCAAGGTTTATGCAAGAAGCTAGATGTATTTGAATAATATATCTATTTCTGTCTATTTTTTATGTCTTTTTCGTTACCATTTTATAGCGTTAAAGGTAAAAATAGGTCAATTGATTTTAAATTTAGTCTTTTTGTCGCTTTTTGAAATGATTCCAGATTTTTGTTTAAGATATTATTTTGTTCAGGAAAAGTCAATCACCGAGCATTCTCCTCTACACAAAACTTCAGTTTGAAATGCTCCTTTAAACATGTACTTCTCAACTTATTTTTCGTACTTTTTGAATTGTAATTTGTATGTATGGCTTGATGCATAAATATTTTTATATATAACCTGTTGCTGAACGTTCTGGTTCAAATCATGCAGTTCTAAGACATCTGTTTATATTGTATATCTGCCTCAAAATATCTATCTATCTATCTATCTATCTATCTATCTATCTATCTATCTATCTCTCTATCTATCTATCTCTCTCTCTCTCTCTCTATATATATATATATATATATATATATATATATATGATTCTTTTTATTATCTATGTATTTATCTATCTATGTATTTATCGATCTATCTATCTCTGTTTTTATCTCATTCTCTTTTTGATCTATCTATTTCATTCTATTTATTATCTATCTATCTATCCATCTCATTCTCTTTATTATCTATCTATCTATCTAACTATCTATCTATCTATCTATCTATCTATCTATCTATCTATCTATCTATGTCGTTCTTTTTATTAT